ATAAGGGACAAGAGTCCTAGAATAAATAGGAGACTTAGCCAAGATAAGGATAAAACTCTTAGGGAGTTTATCTTTATCTCTAAAGGAGTCCAAAGTAAGTACTGAATAGGAATCCATAGAAGTCAGACTTCTATTGAGATTAGGATTGAGGTAACTATAAAAGAGAGGCACCCCCGTGGATCTAAAGTACGTAATTTTATGCTTTGAGCATTGAGTTTAGCATTATTGATTATCTCTGAGAAATATACTGACTTGATCGTCGGATTGCCCCTGGGTGGACGAACCACCGCCGGAATCTTCTCTTTCTGTTACAGGTTAGCCAGGTGTCATCTATTCTGCCAGTGTTCTCCAGCTAAGTACTGAGTTGGGCAGTGTGATCGGAAAATCACTCACACAATATGTAAGGGATTTTAATGCAAAATTCTAGACTCTATTTGGTTAATTTTAGAATTATGATTTGAGCGTAGAGTTGTGATTTAAGTGTCGAGTTGTGAGTTGAGTTTTAAAAGGACAAAATTTGTTTCATTATGAGTTTTGAAAAAAGTTTTTTAATTTTGAATTTTGAATTTTGAATTTTGAAAATTTTGAATCTTGACAAGAGTTTTGAGTTTTATTTTGAATTTTGAGTTATACTTTGAATTTTTTTAGATTTATTTTTTTTAAAATATTTTTAAAATGTTTAAGAAAATTTTGTTTTTTATTTTAAATATACAATTTTTATTTAAATATTTTGAAAAAAATTATTTTATTTTGTAAATATTTTTAACTTAAAACATAACTCCATACTCAAATAGTAACTAAACACATAATTCAAAACTTAATTCAAAAATTATTTTCAAAACTCATAACCAATCTCATAATTGAAAACTCAATTCAAAAACTTTTTTCATAACTCATAACGAAACTCTTTTCAAAATTCTATTAGAAAAAAATTCTAAAAATTATTTTTTATTTTATCCTTTAAAATTATTTTTATTTTCTATTTTTTTGAAAAAAATATTTTGTTTACTTTATTTTTGAAGAAAAATATTTTTTTAAATTTTCAAAAAATATTTTTTGTTATTTTTTTAAGTATTGACCAAATAATTTGTTATGATTTAGATATACATGACAATCTAATTTTTTTTTAAAATTTAAAAAATTTTAAATGTTAAAAAAATAAAATATTTAAAAATATATTTATAAAATAAAATAAAATATTTAAAATAAAAAATAATTTTAATTTTTTTTTAAATAAACAATTCAACCAAACATGTTTTACATCTCGATTGCTCCAATATGGTCCCTTCGTATGATTGGTGACTTCGTATGTTTGGTATAACTTTCAAATTATAATTTCACCCCTACATTCTAATGTTATATTTGATTGAAGTTTTCAAAAATTAATTCTAACGCCAAAATGACAAATTATTTTTTTGAATTGAATTTTAGAAAGAGTTTGGTTATGAATTTTGAATAGAATTTTCAATAAAGTTTTGAGTTGTGTGTTTAGCTATGAGTTATAAGTTTTTGAATAAAGTTTTAAAAATTATTTTCAAAACTTATAACCAAATAACTTTTCTCATTTCATATCACATCAAAAATTTAAAACTCACTTCAAAACTCTTTTCAAACTCATAACCAAATAAATTTTCTTTTTTTAAATCATAATTCCATAACTCACAAATTTAAAATACAATTCTATTATCAAATCATAATTTTAAAATTCCACCAAACCCTACTATTATTTTCTTATTGGTAATCAATTGACACCATTAATGACACTCTTGTGTGGTTGTTTTAGGAAGGCCACAAAAAAGGTGACAGAAAAATTGATTAAGAATGAGAATAGGAGAGTGCAAAATGACTCAAATTTTTTAAAAAAATTTTGCAACTAAACATGTTTTAAATCCCAATTGCTACAATATAGTCCCTTAGTATGAGTGGTGATTTCCACAGTGGGAAATATTATTTTCTTATTGGTAATCAATTGACACCATTAATGACACTCTTGTGTGGTAAAACTAAAAAATTTAATTTTTAAAAAATTTAATTTAAAAAACTCAAACCAAACATAGTCACTTTTCAACTGATAGGATCACCGAAAAAAAATAATAATAATAACCTAATCAGAGATGATTCAGTTAATAATTATTTTCCACCTTACTAAAAAGTCAATAGTTCAAGTTTTGCACATTCTCCTTCCCCAAATTAGAGTGGCATATATCAAAATAAAAAGAAAAATCGAGCTGGTCACACAATTTTTGTAATAATGTTTAGGGTAAATTATAAATACATCCCTTAAGATTTGATTAAAATATGAATTGTCCTATGTGATTTTAGAAATTACATTCTACCATCTGAGATTTCTAATTTTATAATAAACCGTCATTTTTATTAATAAATTATCAAGTCAATTACTAATTTTTAATGATGTTAAAAATATGTTTGAATTAATAATTTAGGTGATTTTATTATTGTATAGGAGAGCAATTATGAATTTTTTTTATAGTTAATTCTGTTAAATAAAAAATTCTAATAAGGGAGTATTTGTAATTTTCTAAACCACATAAGACAATCTATACTTTAAACAAATCTAAAGATGTATTTGTAATTTATCCTAATTTTTATTTGAAAATTATTTGAGGGCTCGAAATTGTTGGCTCGAAACCCAAAACGACGTCGTTTTGGGTTTCTTTTTTTTCTTTTTTTCTTTTTCTTCCTTTTCTTGTTTTTGAACACAGACACAGAGAAGAGAGAGAGAAGAGAAGAGAAGAGAAGAGAAGAGGAAGGGAGGAGAAGGAGAAAAGATGGGGAGAATGAGGAGGAAGAGAAGAAGACGGTGATGGCAGAGAAAGATCGACGGTGATGGCGGTGATCGGAGCTGGAGTTGATGAAGATGTTGATCGGAGTTGATCGGAGCTGGAGCTGGAGCTGGAGTTGATCGGAGTTGATGAAGGTGTTGATTTTTTTATTTTTTTATTTCCTAATGGATCGGATCTGATCTGATCTGAGGTGATCGGAGCTGGAGTTGATGAAGATGTTGATCGGAGTTGATCGGAGTTGATGAAGATGTTGATCAGAGTTGATGAAGATGTTGTTGATTTTTTTTTTCCCTAATGGATCGGATCGGATCTGATCTGATCTGATTTTTTTTTTCTTCTAGTTGATGATGTTGTTGATGATGTTCTTCTTCTTCTTCTTCTTCTTCTTCTTTTTCTTCTTCTTCTTGTTCTTCTGCTTCTTCTTGTTCTTCATCTTCATCTTCAAAACAGTAAGAAAGAAAAATAGAAAAGGACAACCAAAAAAAAAATTTTCCAAAACGATATCGTTTTGAATTCGGGGCAAATTCAAGCTCGAACAATTCGGGCTACGTATCACAGCTGTTTTTATTTATTTATTGGGAATCTCCAATGTGTCAATGGCATATAATTTCATATCCATATGCAAGTCCTTGTAAGAGTAGAAGTCTTGTTTGCTTTAGTATATGTTTGGCTGTTGTAACATCCACTAACATTTATAATAGTGTTTTTTTATTTTCCGATGTAACCAAAAAATATATATATATATTTATTTATATTTTATTATTAATTTATACAGTTCCGCTACGGAGCCCGTATGGGCTGGGGCTCGAATGGCTCAAAAGTTGTTTTCCCCCCAAAATGTGATGCACGTGAAACTCACGTGTTCTGGTTAGGATATCAAACAAATGAAAATGAAAAATAAAACAAACACAGAAAAGAGAGGAGATAAGAGAGAAAGAGAGAGGGAACCAGAAGACCCCCGACTTGGGTTGTTTATTGACAACCTCGACGACCACCGACCTGATGTTCACCGACGACGACTGACCTGGTGTTCACCGACGTCCTCAAGTAAAATATTAGGTAAGTTAGTTGTGTATTTGTGTTAATGTTTCCATTTATTTATCTCTGTATCGCAGATGATTTTGACATTTATTGATATATAGAACTCTATTGGTTAGAATGATTCAATAGGTTTTCTGAACTATTTCTCTGTATACCTTGATTGTTATTTATTTATTTTTTTTGGTTGATCTAAGATTCATTTGTAAGAGGCAACTGTGTGATGTTCGTAATTTTTTTTTTTGTTTTTTTGTTTTTTTTTGTTTTTGGTTGTTCTGGAATGAGGCTCAGTTAAACATCTTTCATTGTAGTCATGCATGCCAATTGTTTGATGAAAGTCCCATAGAGAATTATCCTTATTTTATGTTATGAGTTGAAGAGAAAAGACAATCATTGTTCCTGAGATGAAACTGATGGGCAAACCTTCAATTAATTAAATTATGGATGGAGAATCGTAAGCATTCAACATGTCCATAAAATGAAATTTAATTATGTAATTTAATTGAAGAGAAAAGACAACCACTGTCAAATTACATCCATAATTCTTCTGTGATTTTATCACATGTTGTAATTTTAATTATGTGATGTTATGATCTGTTAGAAAAATTAAAAGAAGAGGGAGAAAGAAAAAGAAAGAAAGGAAACAGAAAATAATCACCCTGAAACAAACTTTGGTAAAACTTTCCTACCCATATATCATAATGCCAAGACAAGCAATCATATGAAATAAGTAATACAAATGCACAGACAAACAAACATGTGAAATAAGTAATACAAGTTTAGGGACCATAGTAACATTTTACACAAGCATGTTATAACAGCCTAAATAAATAAATAGTTCATCTTAACTCACCTATCTTGCATTGCATTGGATGCCCTTAGGTGGTCCCTACGTACAAGTAAATGCACACAATGAGCATATTTAGTCAAGTATAATGCTTCATCTGTGGCTGTATCACCTCCTCCAACCATATTTAGTCAAGCATATTTATGTTATGTTGGAGAACCTTAGAAAAACTGAAATGTTGTGTATGAAAAATCACCCAAGTTGCATGTGATTTGCATTATATTATCATCTCACTACATGCATTTATACTTTATTTGTTGTGTGGTTACTGGTTATGTTGTTTGAATTTTGGTTTCAAGCTACATGCTTCAATGGACATTGATTCAAACAATCCTTCATTAAATGGGACTGAAGAAGTTGAAGAAGCAGAGAATAATCCATCATTAAATGAGATTGGTGAAGTTGAACAACCTAAGAAGGGAATGTATTTTAACTCAAAGCAAGAAGCTTATTCATTTTATGCAAAATATGCGAAGCATCTTGGATTTGCTATAGCTTATAGGACACAAAATATTGGACAAGATGGGGAAGTAAAATACTTTGGAATTGAATGTACTCGGGCATGCAAGAGAACAAAACGATCAGAAGTACACCCTTTCGAACCATCTTTGTCATCATTCATTGAATGTAAAGCGAAGGTTAGAGCGACTCTACAAAAGGATGGAAGATTTAAGTTAACCACCGTTGTGCTTGAACATACACATGACTTGATTCCTACTGACTCACGACATTTTGCAATGAATAAGAGAATTGTTACTCCTGTGAAGAGAAGACTAGAAATAAACGATGAAGCAGGGATAGGGGTGGCTAAGAATTTTCATTCTATAGTTGTTGAAGCAGGGGGGTATGAGGCATTAACATTTGACGAACGAGATACAAGGAATCATATTGAGAGTATGAGAAGATTGAGGCTTGGGGTAGGAGATGCCGAATCAATTGCACTTTATTTTCATAGGATGCAACAACAAAATTCGAACTTCTATTCTGCAATTGACCTCGATGAAGATGGTAGCATGCGAAACTTGTTTTGGGCGGATGCAAAGAGTAGGGTAGTTTATAAAGCATTTGGGGATGTGGTTTCATTTGACACAACCTATCTCACAAATAAATATGATATGCCATTTGCTCCTTTTGTAGGAGTTAATCACCATGGGCAGTCAATTTTGCTTGGTTGTGGGCTGTTATCTAATGAGGACACTGAAACATTTGTGTGGCTATTCAAAGAATGGTTAAGTTGCATGTCAGACGCTCCTCCAAAAGCTATAATAACGGACCAGTGCAGAGCTATGCAAAATGCCATTGAAGTTGTCTTCCCACAAGCTCGACATCGTTGGTGCTTATGGCATATAATGAAGAAAATTCCGGAGAAATTGGGAGGATATGCCCAATATGAATCGATAAAGTTTGCTTTGCAAAATGCAATTTATGATTCTTTTACAAAAGATGAATTTGATGAAGAATGGCAAGCAATGATTGCAAAGTTCAATCTGGATGATAATGACTGGTTCGGGGTATTATACAGTGAGCGACATAGGTGGATTCCTGCCTATGCGAAGGACGTTTTTTGGGCTAGCATGTCAACTACACAACGAAGTGAGAGTATGAATGCATTTTTTGATGGCTATGTGAACTTAAAGACAACTTTAAAGCAATTTGTTGAACAATATGATAATGCCTTAAGAAGTAAGGTTGAGAAAGAGATGAAAGCAGACTTTAAATCTCGAAACAAATTGTATGATTGCCTAACGATGTATGAGTTTGAGAAACAATTTCGTGCAGCCTACACGAATGCAAAATTTAAAGAAGTGCAAGTAGAATTGAAGCGATTATTATATTGTCGTGCTAATCTTGTGAAAGAAGAGGGAGCAATTTGTACTTACCATGTCAAGGAGGCTGTTCTAGTCGGTGAGAAAATGAAGACAGTGGAATTTGTTGTATACTTTAATGCAAGTGAATGTGAAATGCAATGTATGTGTCGGTGGTTTGAGTTTAAGAGTATTATGTGTGTCCATGCAATTACTGTGCTACTTGAGCAGTGCATATATCATGTTCTAGATAAATACATTGTATCATGATGGAGAAAAGATATCGTAAGAGGCTACACATGCATTCCAACCACATACACTAAAGCCGGGGCTGTTGTTAATGCAAAGTTGCATGATATATACCACAAGATGTTAGATAAAATCTTAGAAATTGCTGCCAATGATAATGGTAAACACGAAGTGCTTGATCTTGGGTTGATAGAAATAAAGGATAGAGTGAGAAAAGATCAATCGAGTAGTGCGAGTCATGTGCCACCTTCTACTAGTAATGCACTACCTTCTCATAGTTCACCGAAAAGTCCGTCTGCTCGTAGTACTACAAAAGCAAGCATGTCTCGCAAGATGCTTAGTCCAGTGGTTGCTCGCCGAAGAGGCCGCCCATGTACGAAACGGAAGGTTAGCAAAGTGGATGAAGTAGTGAATCGTAAATTAAAGAGTAAAAGGCCTCTGAAAGCATAGGTAAGTCCTGTTCTTCTGTGTCATATGGAATTTGCTGAATGTTTTGAACATAATTTATTCACCAATGTGTCTGTGTCTTACTATAGGGACGTACGGTTCCTCAATGTTAGCCTCGGAAGTTAAATTTTCCTTCTACAGATGATGTGCAATACAATACTTATCACGACCCGGTATGTATTTGAATTTTTATGTTGTTGGTTGTTTGTTATTTTAATGTTTGAAATGTATAATGACATTGTGTTACTATGATCATAAGGTGACGTAAACTGCACCTTACTATTTTCCTTGAATGGATGGCACGCAACAAAGTATGTATGTACCGGTATGTGTTCAATGTCTGAAGTAAAATATTTGTTATTGTTTTAATTAAAATATATGTTGAATGGACAATATTTGTAAAGTGTACTTGTTTATTGAATAGGCACGGTTTAATCCAATGCAAACGATGGACAATATTGGAGGCACATCTCATGCTCAATCAGGAATGGTGAACAACATCTACAGTCAAAGTTCGACAATCGCTAAAAATTTTGTTGACTTGAATGTCGATACGGATCCAAATGTCCCATTTTTTTTTTTAGACTCGTATTAGTACGTTTTTTTTTTTTTTTTTTTGTGGAACACTATGAATGATGTTGAACAAACTGTGTGGACAATGACAATACTAATTTTGTGGAATGCTCCTGAGATGAGTATGTTTGTAGAATACTATGATTGATGTTCAACAATGTTGTGATTGAATGTGATTAAATGAGGCAGATTGATTAAATGGGGCAGATTGATGCTTATATTGTGATATAGATTGGTTTATGTTGATGATTAAATGGGGCAGATTGATGTTCATGATTAAATGGGGCAGATTGATGGTTATATTGTTGGTAGAATGGTTTATGTTGATGATTAAATGGGGCAGATTGATGTTCATGATTAAATGGGGCAGATTGATGATTATATTGTTGCTAGAATGGTTTATGTTGATGATTAAATGAGGCAGATTGATGTTCATGATTCAATGGGGCAGATTGATGATTATATTGTGATATAGAATGGTTTATGTTGATGATTAAATGAGGCAGATTGATGTTGATGATTAAATGGGACAGATTGATGATTGATGATTAAATGGACCAGATTGATGTTGAATGGGACAGATTGCTGAATTTGTTCTGCTGGTCTGGTTTATGTTGTCATATAGAATGGTTCATGCATGCCTGGTATCTTAGTTGTGGCCGTGATATAGAATGTCTCATTCTGTTGTTGCTATAGTTGAAGGAAATGCTTAAAGATATTGCAGCCAAAATTTTGAATGTGAGTCTGTGTAGAAAACTTTGTGAATAATTGGACCATTGAGGATAAAATAAATTAGCCTCCCTCTTCTGGTGAGTTCATGGCCAATAATTCAACATTGTTTCAGAGTTCATATTGCAATCTTCTGGTGAGACAATAGCAAGAATCATATAAACTTGTCTATTCAAGCATATAAAGACATCATGCACATATTTTTATTTTATATCCATGCAGTAGTGGTACCTGTTTTTGTAATTCAACATTTCTCCAACTTTTGAACAAAATATATCCATAAATGAGTTAATTCAAACATTACATTACATCCATAATAAAATTACAACATCACATTCAATTAAACTCTTAACATTCAAACAGTACAATTACATCCATAATAAAATTAAAACATGTCCACCATTACATCCATAATTAAATTACAACATCACATTCAATTAAACTCCTAACATTCAACATGTCCATTACATCCATAATTACATTCATCAAATATCCCAAAAACTAATAGTCAAGCATTTAAATTATTACATAATAAAGTACAAAACGATACAGAGTAGAATCACATAAATCATAGCCTTGAAATTGTTGTCCATCCTTTGAAGCCTTCTACCATGCTCATGTATTTCATTTTCCATCTCAGAAAGCCTTGCCCTGATTGAATTCTTCTGTTTCGATAGCTTTACGAGGTCCACTATTGGAATGGATTGTCGAGGTAACGTCCCCATCATCATCGTCCCCATCATCATCTCAGAAAACCTTGCCCTGACATCATTTTGTTCGATTTGGTTTATGCCTAAATTTTTTTTTCACCTTGTGCTCTAGTTTGATGCTGTGAAATCAATTTTTCATCTCCAAAAATGTTCTGTTCTACAAGTTAGAAGCCAAAATGAGGCAATGCTATACAAGTTAGATAATAAACACTAGAACAAAGCTAAAGTGGCACTATAATAAAATAAAAATAAAAAAATTCCAAATGTTCTGTTCTATATCCAATGTGGTGGTTACTATTATGGAGGGACATTGTCAAAAATTCAAACTTCCAACAAAATATCCCAAGTCAATGCAAGGGCATACACAACACTGATTATAAAAAAAAAAAAAAAAAACATAATTCCACTATGTACAATATAATAGTTGAGAAACAAAATCAGAATGATGACATAAGATCACAAGGCAAAACAAATTCTTGAATATTAAAACAAACTTCAATGACAAAAAACGCTCTATATCAACTAGGAATTCTGATTCCAGTATAACACAAAGACTCTAATTCCAGTATAACAAAAAATAAATAAATAAATTCACAGAGCAGATCACACAATTCGGCAGTTGTAACAAATTGGGGAAAAATTAATTGAAATTGTGATCACACCTAGTTTTCTGGTATACAGATTAACTGAAATTATTGGGGCAAAATACAAAACCCTAACCCTAGTTTTGTTATCCACAGTTTACCTGCGATTCGGGTGTGAGGATGAACTTTCCAGCGTCGTCTGGGAGAAGAGAGGAGGTGATACGCTCGAATGATTCGGAAATGAACCGGAAGAGCAGATGATTAGGAAGAACGATGAAGAACAGAGCAAGATGAGGAAGAGAGTTGGATATAACACTAAAAAAGGAGAGAGAGAGAGCTATAACACTGAAAAAGGATAGAGAGCGAGATAAGGGCGTTATGCCCTGTGAACCCACGCTTTCGGGGCATTCGAGCCAACACATTCGAGCCCTGAAGCATTTTTGTTTTATCATATCATATCATGTGATATGTTATCTTTTATATGTCACATAGTAACATATAACTTTTGGTTATTGTAGCATCCACTAGCAGATATAGGCCCTGTTTTGTAGGGCTTATTTTCAACTTTTTTCAGTTTTTAGTTTAATTTAAGCTATTTCGATGTGTTTGGTTTAGCTTAACAATACAGCTTATAGCTTTTTGTAAGTCAAAAATCAACTTATTCTTTGAGTGAGGGAGGAGAAGCTAAATTTATAAGTCAAAAATCAACTTATGTTCACAGTTATAAGCTATAAGCTGTTAAGGTATAAGCTATAATCACTTTCCCACAGCTCTACCAAACGGGGCCATAGTGGTGTTTTTATTACCGGTGCAATTTAGACAGGTTCGGTCGGGTTGGGAAGTTATTCAAGCTTAATTCAAGTTGTGCTGAGACATACCTAAACCCTCCCAAGTCCGAATTGTAACTCGAGATTCCCTGTCTAAGCGCAACCCAAATTAAACCTAAATTGTCTGAGTTGCTCAAATTGTAAATGAATTTGTTACCCAAAAAACAATCTAAGAGGGGGGTGAATTAGGTTTCTACAAATTAACATTAATAATATCCCAATAAAATTAACTATTAGTACAACAAATTATTAACAAGCATAATGATGAACTTAGCAGTAAATGATCAAGCAAAATAACAATGAAATATAACTAACATACAAGGTAAATCTAATGATTAACACATGAATATTAGATAACTGTAGTAGTAGTAGGAAAGTAAAGAGATTAGGGAAGAGGAGACAAACAAATTTATAGTGGTTTGACTTTAACCAAGCCTACATCCACTCCTCAAGCTTCATTTGAGATTTTCCACTATCTTCTAGCTTCACAGGGGGGCTAACAACCTCTTTACAAATGGAGCAATCCTCTACGGATTTTACATAGACTTCACAAGCCCAAACCCTTGCAAATCTTAGGTGATTCACAATCATTCTCAAGATTTCAAGAACACAGTATTTGCAACACTTTTACAAGATAAAATAGTATTTTTGCTTTCAAAGAAAGCTTACAATAAATATCTCTCAAAGATAAATATATAAAATGAAACTTTGATTTTTTTGTAAATCTCATACAGGAAAGATGAGCTTAATGCTATAAGGTTCAGTGTATAATTTCTGAGAGATGATGTAAACAAAAATTGAAGAACACTTCTCAAAAAAATTTTAGAAAATAGATGTGGGTGATTATAGATTAAAGAATATTTTCTAATTTTTTGTCACTTGTTTACATTAGAGGCTTTGGTATATATAATGAAACTTATAGCCGTATATAACCGTTGTATTCATTTAAATTTATAATCGTTTATAACAATTTATAGCCGTTGTATTCATTTGAATTTATAGCTGTTTATAGCCGTTGTACTCCATCATTACTAATTTGAATATATTTCACTCCATCATTACTAATTTGAATATTTTCTACTTAAACCTTTTGAACATTTTGAACTGTTACTGTGCTGGACTGTTTGAACCTCTGTTTTGGATTATTTGAACTCTTTATTTAATTAAATATTAAATACATTCTAACAGCATTTAGGATAAAGGTTTAGGTGAGAAATAATGAGACAAAATAAATTTTGATTCTATTTTTCTCTTTCAAATAAATTAAAACATAATTAAATAAATCATCAAAATAAATTTTGGATTCTATTTTTCTCTTTCAAATAAATTAAAACATAATTAAATAAATCATCAAAATAAATAAGTCTAACATAATTTTTTTTTGCAACTATATTATTAAATTATTAAAATTTGATTTTATTTACATTTTTTTTAATTATAGAAAATCATTAATATCATCAAAACAAATAATTTATATTATATAAAAGAAATGCTGCTACAATAGTCCTTACAATTTATGAGTGCAATTTTTTTTTTAAAAAAAAGGTAAGATTTTATATTATTTGTATATATAATACATATTCAAGCTTCGTTTGAGATGTGGGTTGCCTTTTTGACTTTTTGACTTTTTGGCTATTTTAGCCTAGGGCTCAAAAGCCAGGTTTGGGAAGGACTTTTGGCTTCTTTTTTTTTGTGAGAGAAAGAATGTAATGATTATGGGTTGGATGTGATGTTTTGTCTTATTGGGCTAAAAAGTCTATTTTTTTTTTTTTTTTGTGTGTGTGTGTGACTATTTTAGCCAAAAAAACTCCAAAACCAACTTCCCAAACGGAGGCTCAATATGATTTAATAATTTAAATTACTTTAATATCATGTAATGACTAAAAATTTATATATATAAATATATATTTATTTAATATTTTTATATATCTATATATATATATATAATTTGGGTTTCGGGTTGCTCGGGTAGTTTGACGTCTTTACTCAAACCCGCCCAAATTTAATTCGGATTTTTGAATTTTTGCCTAAGCCCGTACTTAATTTGAAAATATCTTATCCAAGCCCTAAAAAATTCGAACTGAATTTAGATTATTTGGATTGAATCTGCCCAAGTTGCACCCCTAGCTTTTATCATATCGTGTGATGTGTAAAAATCTTTCCAAATTGTCCGTAGCTCCAATTAAAAGCTGCATGAATTCAGATTATTTGGATTGAATCTGCCTAAATTGCACCCCTAGCTTTTATCATATCGTGTGATGTGTAAAAATCTTTCCAGATTGTCTGTAGCCCCAATTAAAAGCTGCAAATTTGCAATGAAATGAACAATTTTGATAGAAGTAATTGTATTAGGTTCAATGACATTGTATTAATCCTATAAAATCCAATGTCGTTGCACACAAATTAAGTTCAATGACATTTATTACCATTCCCTTTGGTTCATTGGCACCCGTTAAGTAGTACAGTAAATGATTTAATTATTTATGAACAATTTATGTTTGACTCGTATCAAGTTTAATTTAAGGAGATTTAAGTTTGGCTCGAATATATATTATATATATATATATATATGGGTATGGCTTCTGTCCGGTCCAGGATCGGACTGGACCGTGTTGTTGGGTCCATGGGGGCCCACCACGGGTCCCGTTTTGATAATCTGAATCGTTCAATGTGTAGAATTCGTCGACTACTATATGCCTGTAAAAAATCACGTTGATCGGATATCGATAGCTATATGATCAAATCAGTTTCGTATTAAAAAAATTAGACGGTGAGCAAATTAACGATTGACAAAAAATTGTTTTGATCACATAGCTTTCGATATCTGATCAACGTGATTTTTTAAAATCATATAGCACTCGACGAGTTCTACACATTAAACGGTTCAGATTATCAAAATGGGACCCGTGGTGGGTCCCCACGGGCCCAACGGCACGGTCCAGTCCGATCCCGGATTGGACAGAAGCCATACCCTATATATATATATAAATAAAAAGTATATATAAATTAATATTTATTTTTAATAATATATAAAGTAATATTTTCATTAATTAGTTTATTTCTATTTATGTTTGGTATTTGTGTAAATTTACATTTTGATTTATGAAATTTATTAATAACAATAATCTTTTCTTTTTCTTCTCTTAATGTATAAGATTGATTTTTCTTTTCAATCTCTAATATATTCATTTACTAGTGGATGACCCGTGCCTACGGCACTCCAAGTTTAAAAAAAAAAAAAATCACATTCAAGTTAATACACTTTTGACCAATGAAAAATAAAAGTTAAGACAAACTAATGTAGCGCTTCCATATTGGTAAAAATTCACCACATTATAGTTATGATCTATTCAATCCATTAATAATTCTTCATATTCAAGGTTAAACTCCGTGTCACAGTGTATACGAAACTTTCAGCATACACATAATTCTTCATTTTTAATAATTCTTCATATTAATAATTCTTTATTTTTAATTCCCTTGTCCTTTTACTTTGTAATTACAATATGAAATCAAGAGAGATTTACTTAATACATATAGTTCATGAATTAATTTGAAACCAAAAAATAAATAACCATGCATTCTATATGTATAGCCTCAAGTGTAGTCCCACTTTAAACTTGGTTCAACATCTCCATTTTAGATCTGATTATTTCTTATTGCCAGTAGCACACCACCATAAATGCATGATGCTTGAAAAATATCAAAAGATCCATTTGCAAGTCCAGTTGATCTTTCAAAGGGAACTATAGTCTCACAAACAAATATCTTTCAAATGGAACCATTAGATCTTTTCACATTAAATAAATTCATTCTATCCATTACATACTCCTTCTATCCATTACATTATACGCATACATATGTGTATGCATTTACAGTATTTAAAGAAGGAATGGTAGTAAAAAGAAAAGGCCTTTTACGTTAGATACGCGTTGTCTCCCAATTGTGCAATCCATGTCACCCACTTGTATATTCCATCACCTAACAGCCTGTAATTCAAGTGATGAAAATGAACAATAGAAGGGAATAAAAAATAAATAAATAAGAGAATTTTAAAGAGGAGTGGAGAGTGGTGTTTTAAGAAGAGCCATTTGAGGAAGTAGTGCTTACATACCGACAAAGGGGAAAGACTAAGTGGGTGCAGTGGCTATTGGGCATGTCAACATCGTTAATTCCTCTGTATCAAACTTATAAACATCAACCCAACTTCAATTTTGGTGGCTAATGTTACATGAGAGAGAGAGAGAGAGAGAGAGAGAGAGAGAGAACTTAGCCATTCAAAAAGCACCCAAATGGTTGTTACTCCATAATTTTTTTGAAATCTTCTTGTTGCTCCATAATGGCACATTAGGAACTACAAATTAAAAATTGAACTGATATTTGAACTGAACATCCAGTGTCATCGCCTAGATGTTAACAAAGAAAATTTTGGAAGAAGAAATGATAAAGTTCACAAATTACAATTTAACGATCAATGATAAAAACTTAAATTCCACAATTTAGGAAAGAGGGCAAAACTACCAATTATGCCAAATCCACTTGGAAAAAAATAATAGTTCAAATATGATTTTGTGTTTAAGTTTAAAAAAATGTAATTAAAAAAACCCACAAATGAAACCAAATTAGTAGTATAAAATGTTAGAAAAGTTATGATGAAATTCAGTCAGTGGTGGCAAGTACTCCAAAACCAAATTTCAGTCATCACCACAACATCTCACACCTTCAACTCAACTTAAAAAATAACAATTTTCTATTTTGAATTCCACACAAACTAAATCCAAAACCAAACCAGTATAAAAATTAAAAATTAAAAAGCAAATTGAGATTTAGTTGAGAGAGGGAGGAAGTGAATCAACAACTATTAACAACTCTATTGAAATTGAAGCTCTATACAAAATCACTTGAACAAAGATTACATGCAAAAACAAAATTAAATGTCCCAAATGGGCAATACTCAACAAAACAGCCCCATCCACAAAACTTTTTAGTTCAAACTTCCCAATTTCATTTGACTATTCAAGTAAAAATGATAAAATTTACAATGAAATCATGAAACTGTCCTATTTATACCCAAAAGACAATATATATTCATTTTACTATTACCCAATACTATTAATTTAACTGAATTGAATCAATCTGACAAAGATATGAGCTATTGCACTTTGTTTTCCTATGTATTTTGTTAGTTTCTTTAGACCAAGAATCAAACTATCTAATTCAAGCAATCAATCAAAACCACACACATATGTAGATGCCAAACTAATAATATAAAATTTAATCTAAAGATGCACTGTTTTATGTCAATATCAATAACCTACCAACCAATAATACCAAGAACAAATAGAGATTAGATTCCACAATGAACATAGTTAAATCATTACACTATGAAAAAAAATAGAATTTGGAAATCAAATTGAAGGCATGCTAACAAATAGAAGGCTTCTCTGTTAAACCAACTAATAATGATGAAATTCTAAGCAACCAATTAGAGGATTCTATGTAAATAAGAAGACGTTTGTTAATGAGATTAATCAAAAATTGAACTGGATGATTTTACAAATCCAAATAATTAAGTTATGAAATTCAAAACCAATTAATTGGAAAAAAAAATTTTAGATATTAATCATTAACACAACTTCTATAAGGAAATAAAAACTTGAAATTAAGTCATGAATTTGAATTTGAATAAAAACTTGAAATTAATCATTAATCATGAATTTGAAATCTTAGTAAATAAAAACTCCAACTCAACTTCTATAAGTATAAGACAAATTAAGTCATGAATTTACCTTTTATATCTATAACTCATGCCTCAACTTTAAATTGCTTCCATTGGTAAAGTTTCGAATTCCATGGAAATTGAATACATTTGTGCCAATTAAAAAAACCAAAATTGAGATAGAGGGTGGGAGTGAGTGGGAATCATTCCATTATGAATCTTCAGCCTAAAACAAAATCCAAACAGACGTGGGCTCAACTGGTGATGTATGATGAGATTACAGATGTACATTAAATATTAGGGGGAAAAAACAAAGGTGAGAAAGGTTCAAATGAAAACCTCTTTGTGTACAATGGTACTAAAAATCCCAAAATCCCGTACTAATATACCAATAAAAGCACGAAATAACAACCCATTCACATGAAAAATATATCTAAAAATCTAAGTTTGGGTGCTCACCACGAAAAAGTTATTGAACCCATTAAATATAAATCTTGAGAGAGAGAGAGAGAGAGAGAGAGAGAGAGAGAGAGAATCTCCACAAATCAACTATGTAGAGCATGTGTTGGTCTTCAAAATCAAAGAATCATGGAAGTAAAAAATTATTGAAATCAACCTCCAAACTGCCCATAATAGCTATCGACATTGGTGGATAAAAGAAAATAATTAATTATCCAGAAAAATGAAAACCAATTTAATGGCTCATAACTCTATATAAGCAAAGGAAACCAGACCAACGCCAATAGATTTTAAGTGAAAACAAAGCAATACCACAACAAATTATAAAACAGAAACCCCAATGAATTTTAATTGCCTTGAAAAATTAGACTTTGATTTCAGTTTAAAGTTCTATGTATGGTGGTGAGGATCATCACTTATATTTGAACAAATTTGCATGTGCTCAAATCATTAGAATGTTATTATTACAACCAGAAATTAGAAGTTATACCTTACCTTTTGAAGAATTTATGGATAGGCGCAGAAAGATATTTGAATTGTTTTCTAAAGGATGACCAACAAAAGGAAACATTAAAATGCTTTAGTAAGAATGCAAATCAGATACTTACCACAATGTTCAGAAGCGAAAGGTTGTTAAGAAGTTTCACTTCTTCCTCAAGCTCTCTAATATGAACCTATTAAGCAAATTTAAAGAAATGATTCAGATATATAGGACCACAAACACAATGCTTCATACACAAATTACCATAAATGTAAATAAAGCAAGTAAATTGGAAGTGATTTTCAACTTTGAAGCACTCTTACTGCAACTGAAACATTCTTAGATATATACCAATACCAAAAACAATTGAAAAAAGTAACAAAAAATAAATAAATGTATCCAAAAGAATCACCATAAACAAAATATATCTTTTAGAAATGAAGGAGTGCCAAATTCAAAATCAAGAAGAGAACTTCTCAAAATAATAATAATAATAATAAAAAGTATAAGAATATTATCCCAAAACAAAACCACTGTTCACATCCGCTGTGCACCACAACTCATCATCATTCTGCAAATCACCACTAAATAATGTTCTAGATAAAGCTTAAGTAAATACAAAAGTATTCAATAAATACCAAAAATATTTTGTCTAATTAGAAACTATGAGTAAAAAATATGACCATCTATATTATTTTCGGCTTAATGTTAACAGTCAGGTTAACCTTAATATTCACATTAACCCATTTAATGTTAACAATCCTCAACCCATTTGACTAACATGAAATAAAAATGGGTATTAACATGAAACCAATTTCTTCCTTTTAACTCCCATTTGATTTGACAGAGAGTGAGAGCTTTGTTGGTGATGGTGGGGATGATGGGATGACAAAAAATAGAGTACCCAAATTTGTAGGGAAAAGATAAGTTTATTACTGATTTTATTCACAGATAAATTCAGTACTGACAATTGGAAAAGAAATTTTAAATCGCAATAAGGAAAGGGAAAAGAAATTTGTGCAAAAAAATTAATTCGTCCAATAGACTTGTAACATTAAATAATTAAATCAAACTTGAAAAATTATTGAATATTCTTCGAATGCCAGAAAAGTATATACATATGGTACTTCTAATCAATGAGATTGCGAAAATAAAAAAATGAATGAGAATGACTTTATTTCTATCAAATTGACCAAAGTAGGTCAAGTCAATTTTGACAATTGCTTTTCTTGTACAAAAAGCCTAAGTTCAGGTTTGATTTGTTTTTGTATAATTTATTTTTTTAATTTTGGCCCATAATTTATTTGTTTAAGGTTTCAATCTTGTTCTTTGAATTTTTTTTTAATGCATTCTCTTGGTTAAATATTGATTTCTCATATATTAGGGGAAATTAATAATATCCACTCTTAAAAGGATGCACATCATATTAATAAAGTTTGTTTATTTGCCAAAAAAAAAATGATGCACATCATAAGATAGTTATGAATTTTTATGATGAAAATTACCAATGTTTGGTTATAAAATCAACAAAACCCATAAAAGTACACCCAAAATCCTACATGCATCTAGAAAATTAAAGAAAAACAATACTCACAGTTTGATTTTGGGAATCGTTCTTTCTCTATTCCACTAATGATCAATTGATGGTCTCTATGGCTTCAAAGGAAAAAAAAAATTGTAATCAATATATATACACACAATAATCTATTAAGAAAGAAATGAGAGTATTACCTTTACTTTGCTGAACAAAGCACCCAACAAACCCATAATTTATTTGTTTAAGGTTTCAATCTTGTTCTTTGAATATATATATATATATATATAATGCATTCTCTTAGCTAAATATTGATTTCTCATATATTAGGGGAAATTAATAATGTTCACTCTTAAAAGGATGCACATCATATTAATAAAGTTGGTTTATTTGTCAAAAAAAGACAAGAAAAAAGGATGCACATCATAGGATGGTTATGAATTTTTAGGATGAAAATTACCAATGTTTGTGGTGTGTGTTAAAGTTAATTTGTGTGTGTGTAAATTCCATTGAAACATTTAATCAAACACTTAATAAGTAAAGAAGATAGAATGGTTATCGAATATTTTAGTAACAACCAAACGATAGTAATGGCACAACAACCATTCAATAGACTAACTCAATATAATAGTCCCACAAATTCCTACTAAATTGTGTCTATATATACATAGATAATATATATGAATAAGAAAAATCAACAAAATCCATAAAAGTATACCCAAAATCCTACATGCATCTAGAAAATTAAAGAAAAACAATACTCACAGTTTGATTTTGGAAATCGTTCTTTCTCTATTCCACTAATGATCAATTGACGGTCTCTATGGCTTCAAAGAAAAAAACAAAAAAAAATTGTAATCAATATATATACACACAATAATCTATTAAGAAATAGATGAGAGTATTACCTTTACTTTGCAAAACAGAGCACCCAACAAACCAATCTTATTCTTTGAATATATATATATTTTTTAATGCATTCTTTTGGCTAAATATTGATTTCTCATATATTAGGGGAAATTAATAATCTCCACTCTTAAAAGGATGCACATCATATTAATAAAGTTGGTTTATTTGTCAAAAAAAAAAAGGATGCACATCATAAGATAGTTACAAATTTTTATGATGAAAATTACCAATGTGTGTGGTATGTGTTAAAGTCAATTTGTGTGTGTGTAAATTCCATCGAAACATTTTATCAAACACTTAATAAGCAAGGAAGATAGAATGGTTATCAAACATTTTTGTGACAACCAAACAATAGTAATGGCACAACAACCATTCAATAGAGTAACTCAATACAATAGTCCTACAAATTCCTACTAAATCAAAGTAAATGGGTTTCGTGGAACCCATCCAACTCTTCATATATATGTGTGTATATATAAATAGATAATATGTATGAATAAGAAAAATCAACAAAACCCATAAAAGTATACCCAAAATCCTATATGCATCTAAAAAATTAAAGAAAAACAATACTCACAGTGAAAATGTTTGATAAAATGTTTGATAAAAAGTTTCATAAAATGTTTGATAAAATCAACAATCAGAACATTTTATTAATAAAGTGTGGTTATCGAACATTTTAGTAGAATGGTTATCAAACATTGAAAAATTCTTTGATACACATGGTGGTTTTGGTTATAAAATAAACATTGAAAAAATGTGTAACATGCACCAGAATTCTAATGATTTGTGGAACTTAGTTATAAGATTTTGTGATGTTCAAATTTATGATGAACTTTGTAGTGTTTATGGTTATAACCCATGGTGGTTTTGGTTATAAAATTTTGTGATGTTTAATTATAAATTTAAGTGGCCTTAGTTATGAGGATTTATGATATTTTTTTAAGATTATGAACTACTGTGATTATAACTTTGGATGCATATCGTTAAAAAGTTTTTGGGGTGTATATAAATTTAATATGACTTACTGGGTCATTCTATCAAAGACTTGCAATACATGACTTATTGGGTAATTCTATCAAACACATGTGTAATGATCGTAATTGATTTGAGTTCAGTAAACTCACACCAAAAAATAAAAAAACAAAACAAAAAAACATGATTGGTTGTTTAAGAAATGGGTTCTAGTTGTGTGCCTATACATATTTTCCAAAATCAAAATAAAGAAAACTTATTGGGTCATTCTATCAAACACTTGCAATACATGACTTATTGGGTCATTCTATAAGATGAAAAAGATGAACAAAAAATAAGATGAAAAAAAAAAATGACAACACACTAAGGGTTTAAAAATTGTCTGACCCAAAACAGAAATAAAAAAACAGAGTTGTCTAGATTAATATGGTAAAACAGACCAAAAAAAAATAATAATAATAATGGCAAAATAAGCAACCAAAACAAACCTTCCCAACCAAAACAAAAATATGTCTAGATTAATCCCCAAAAAATTGTCCCATTTTGATACAAAAAATTGTATAGATTAATCCCTCAAAAGCTATCTAGATTAATCTCCAAAAATGTCCGATTTGTTGATTAATATGAGAGAAAACAACAAAGAAAATCAATAATTTATATATGATTAAACAACAAAGAAAAATTCTTTACCTCTGTGGATTTGGAGGAGGGTTCACACATCTGACTCTGGTCTTCGGATGATTGAGAGAAATTCTTTACCTCTGCATTGGAGCCACGCCAGTTGTAGAGCTCGGATTCGGCCAGCGGCGAAGTTAAAGAATTTTGGGGCGGTTCAAAGGGATTGAGATGGGTTTGTTGGGGGTGGTTCAAAGGAATGGATGAAGAGAGAAGATGAAGAGGGTAATGTAGAGAGAGGGATTGAGATGGGTTTGTTGGGGCTTAGGGCGATTCAGAGGAATAGAGAAATAGAGAAGATGAAGAGAGTAATGTAGAGAGAGAGAGAGAGAGAAAGAGAGAGAGAGAGACGTCTGTGTTCAAAATTTGAGAGAGAGCGTTGAAAATTTGAGAGGAGTGTGTGTGTGAGAGAGAGAAACTATAATGTGATTAGACATTGTGAACCATTGGATTGAATTCAATCTAACGGTCCATGTATTGACAGAGGGACAAAAGTCCCATCAAAATAAAAATCTGAGCTTCCTTATTATATAGATATAACTGGATTGACTCAAGTTAAACTGGTGTCTCTCAAATACTTGGTGCACTTTGAGTCTATTCATTTATATAATTAGGTCGGCTCAAGTTTAACTTGAATCTCTCAAGTACTTGATACACTTAAGTCTATTCATTTACATAACTAGATTGACTCAAATTAAGCTTGAGTCTTCGGAGCTTGACTTCAACTATTCTCCAACACCAAACTCAACTATTCCTTTGGCAAAAAACCAATCTATTGTTAAAAATGCAAATTTTTTTGACAAAAATAACATTAATCAGTGTGTTTGGTTTGAGTTTTTTGAATTAAGTTTTTTGGTTTTCGTGTTTTTTTTTTTTTATTTTTAGTGAATATTTTTTAAATTTTAAACATTTTTTTTACTTTTTTAGATGCACCTTACTTAGATGTATCTAAAAAGTAAAAAATTTGAGAAAAAATATTTTCAAAAATTAATAAATACATAAAAATATAAAAAATATACTAAATTCTCATATTTTTTTTTGTATTTTTTGTATTTAGTGAATTTTTAAAAGGTTTTTTCCAATTTTTTTTTTACTTTATTTAGGTATGTTTAAAAATTAAAAAAATTGCTCAAAATATTAAAAAAATTCAGTAAAAACACGAAAAATAAAAAAGTAAAATTTTCTGAAAAGTATTTTTGAAAAATGATAACCAAGCATAGTGTTATTTAAACCATCCAACGCGAAGGTGACACATGGCAAGTAAAGGGTATTTAAATACCGAAAAGTCCTACTTTCGAAGGTGTTCACGTGAGCTGCGAATACAAATCTTTAAATGACAAGTTATAAGCGGCATGTAAGAAGCACGTGAATGAGTTAATAAAGAGCAGTTGCTAGCAGTTAAACACGCACAAGAAATGATTATGGCCCTAAGAAGTAGCGAAAAGAAAGAAAATCATAGTGAGAGAACGGCCTAACTACTCCGAAGGCGCCAAAAGAAAGCTATAAATAGACGGCCCAACTGCTCCGAAAGCGCTAAGAGAAGGCTATACATAGATGGAAGCAAAGATTGAAGAGACCTCGACCAAATCTAGACTCTATGTCTTTGTCAATTTCATTTATCTTTAAATTTCTGCACTTTACTTTTGTGCACTGTACTTACATTTCGTACGAGTAAATTAGCCTTGTAATTTTAAACCTGGTCGGTTTAGAAGTTTCAAAATTGTCCTTACTAAAGGCAACATTTTGTAATTGTTTATTTAGTTAATCAATTACAATTTCTATCCAATCTCTCTCTCTCTCTCATTCTGTTACAAATTTGAGTTAAAATTTTGATTCATCTTTTCAACACAGCACAAAAAGTCTTCTTCATTGAGTTTAAGAAAATCTTAACACAATCACTTAATAAAAATTAACACATTATTTGTAAAGACTTTTTAGATTCTTACTGACACGCTTAAATCACATTTCTAATATTTAAAATGTCAACAATAGTCAACAACTGGTATGTTAAATTAACAATGAAGGCAAATATCTCTTTGATAGCCTGACACCAAAGCCCTCTCCATTATTCCAAGTGCTCTCTAAATTATTCCGATACCTTGAGTATTCCCTCTCCATTATCACTTGGGGCATGGGTCAAAAAATAAAACTTTAACCACTCTAAAAAAAATCAATAAACTTACCTAATTAATCCTCCAAAACCAAAACAACCTCTGACCGTTCTAAAAAACCCCAATAAACTAATTTCCTAACTAACGCTCCAAAAATAGAAAAGTTTTAAAAACACTAAGATTTCCCTTGATTAGAAAGAAATAAATGATGAAAAAAAAAATGATAGAAAAAGTAGAAAAGAAAAGAAAAGAATATATATTCTCATATGGATTTCATTAGGATGAAATTTTTACAAAAAAAATAAAAATTCTAATTATAAATACTCACTAATTTTATAACAAATTTAAGCCTTTTTATATTTTTTTTACAAAAAAACTAAAAATTACCATACTAATTCACAAGAAAATTAACCAACACAGGCTCACAATTAGTAGTCTAAGTTAATTGGTTCCTAGAATAAAAGAGAAAATAATAGAGAAGGATGCAGAAAGTTAGAGAGAAACTTTCTTCTTAAGAGTTAAAAAGAGAAAGTTAGAAAAAATAATTTGTTTAAAATGAAAAAGATAGAAAGTGAGGGAAAAAGGAAAAGAAAAATTAACTTCTTGTGAAAAGTAAAAAAAATAATTTTCCTATACAACTCATATTAACATTATAACTAATTTTTAATTTCTTATAAAAATACAAAAAAATACACTAGTAAATTTATAATTTATCTATAACTGAACTTCTAAATTTTTTCTTACAAAATTTTCCTCTTAAAAATACATATTTATATATATTTTTTTACTTTCACTTTCTACTAAATTGACTTTAAAATTTATTTTTTTATTTTGTTTTCTACCATTGAATCTCTGAGAAACCAACAAAAAAACACCCCCTCGCCCAAAATACCACTGAGCAGCCCTTCTAGTGAAAATTTTAGACTAGTAATTGCAGGGAGACTTTTGGAAAGTCCCCTCCAAAAATAGGCGTATGCTGCTATAAAGTGATGCGCACACGGTATTCTTTAGTAAAAGGCGAAAGAATAGTTCGCTCTGTGCTCACCACACAGCTCCGTGATTTTAGCACTGCAGTCTACTTGCAATTTATTTAAATTCTGGTATCTTGTGTTTTCTTAATCTTCATGATGTGGGATAGAGTTTTCAACATTATTGTGACATTCCATAAACAAGCAACATGCTCAGTTGAGAACATGGGTTCAATTATTTATTTCTTGTTTTTTTTTAATATTTTTTCCATTTTTTTTTTTTGTAGGACTTTGTTGACATTGACAAACAGAGATCAGAATGAATACAGCTGAGATTTTGAATTTTTTTGTTTTCAAATGGGAAAAGGTAAATGGGACCTTGGAAAGACAGGAAAAATAGTAAATTGATTGCAATTATGATGAACATCTATAACTATGTTTGTATTTGTGATGATTTGTGTTCTTTAGACTGCATGACAAAAGGATTTGGTATGAATGACTCTTCATAGCTATTGTCATTCACCCCTCTCTCTCTCTCCACTCAATTGTTCTCATTGAAGTCTGAAGTTGTTAGTCTCAATTGTTCTCGTTGATGTGTGTTGTAATATATTTCTTTGTTGTGGATTCACACTTGCAATTAATGCCAATCATAAGATTGCTCTTTTATAGGAAATTTTTTTGGGTGTGTAGTATTTGTTCTCTCTCTCTTTGGTCCTGAAAGTTGTGGATAGAGTTGTAGAGCAGTGTTGTTACACATGAATTAAAGCCCAATGGCAACTAATTTCTTTGTGCTTGAGCTGAACTCAAGCACAATCTCAGTCCTTTATGCTCAACCTCAACCCAAGTTGAATTCAAACCTTAAAAAAATGGACTTGCTTACGATCATGTTTCTCTGTCAAGTCCTATTAATTTAAGGGCACATTTGATTCTCACTAATGGTGAGAATAAAAGTGGAGAGAATATATGGGAATTATTGAATTGTTAGTCTGGTGTTTGATTGCAGGATAAAGAGAAAGTGATTGAGGGAGAGAAATATGTGAGTCCTACCGAATAGATGATACTAAACTCTAGATAATTTTAGTACTTGTATAAAGGATTAAATAAAAATAAAATGAAAAATTGAATAATACCATAGGTAATATGATATTAGAAAAGATTAGGCTTTTTAAAATTTTTGTTTCTTTTATCCAACTATAAAAAATAATTATATCTTTTTATTTCATTTTACATAATCATATCATCCAAATACATTAAAAATGGGTATGGCTCCGGGATCCGTGCTGTTGGGCTCGTGGAGGCCCATCATGGGTCCCGTTTTGATAATCTGGGCTCATGGGGGCCCATCATTGGTCCCGTTTTGATAATCTGAACTGTTCAATGTGTAGAACTCGTCGAGTACTATATGCCTATAAAAAATTACGTTGATCGGATATCGATAGCTATATGATCAAACTAGTTTCGTATTAAAAAAAATTAGACGGTGAACAAATTAACGGTTGACAAAGAACTGCTTTGATCACTTAGCTATCGAATATCCGATCAACGTGATTTTTTAATTTCTACATATTGAACGGTTCAGATTATCAAAACAAGACCCGTAGCGACTCTTCACGAGCCCAACAGCACGGTTCAGTCCGATCCCAGACTGAACAAAAACAAATACCCTTAAAAATTAATTTAGTAAAAAAAATAAAAATATAAAAGATATATTATTTTTATATAATTTTATTTTTAAGGGATAGAAATAATTTTAAAAATTCAAAAATAAGTTTTTAACATTTTATATTAAATAAAACTCAAAATTCAAAATTTAAAAATGAATGACTCGAATCCCAAGGCTGTCTGATTCGCCCTATAAATAATAAATTGACATTGTGAACTTTCATAAATAATAAATCATTCAAAACAGGCAAAATAAAAAATCATGTTAACAAATTTAATTTTAGACTAAGAATTAAAGGGAGACTTCCTAAAAAGTCCCCTCCAAAAATAGGCGTATGTCGCTTTGAGTGGCGAGCGCACGGTATTCTTTAGTAAAAGGCGAAAGAATAGTTCGCTTTGTGCTCACCACACGACTCCGTGATTTTATGTATTTCTAGCTACTTGCATTATATCAGAAAGTTGTTGGCTTGTGTTTGATTTTTCTTCGCGATGTGGGATAGAGTTTTAACCAACTAACCAACAAGCTTAGGTAAGAGAACTTGAAATTGGTGTTAGATACATGGACTCCGAAACTCATGTCCATGTTAATATCTCTCTCTCCCTCTATAACCCAACAATGGCCTTGTTTCCAGAGAATTTATGCTCATAATATTTAATTTAGATTGGTTGATGAAAAACATATAATGTGTTTGATTAAATGCCTGACTGAAAATTGGTTTTGGAATCTGAATGATGTTAAGTATGCCAATAGTGGGTTGGTATGTAAAGATAGCAATGGAATTGGTCTATAATGACTCAAGAGTTAGTATTTAGTTTAGTGTCTATGCTTTTATTCAGACTGATTGATGAAACATATAATGTGTTCGATTAATTGCCTGACTGAAAATTGGTTATGGAATCTGAATAGTGTTGCTAAGGATGCTGACAGTGGGTTGTCAAAGAGAGCAGTGGAGTTGGTTTTCTTGATGTGGAGGCAAAATATGTGGTTGATAAGATAATACTTGCTGCCATTGTGAACACTGCTGGAGATATGGTTTTTTTAGAGTTGGAAAATGATTTATGTTTTTGTAATTAGAACCGGATAAGAATCTTCAGTTGTTCTCAGTTACTCTTGGGAAATGTACATGAATGCCAGCTTATTGCAGATAACTCGAATTATGATCGATTGGTTGTGTCATAGGACTGTGGTTTAATGGAATTCATTGTCTAAAAGTGGGAATCTTGGGGAATTAACGGCTTAGGACTGCAACCCATGAATGGTTTCAAAGTTGAAGCTCTACATGCTAGGAAGAAACTTGATATAGTTGCCTAAATATTCGAATTTTTTCAGGTGAAAACATTATATTGTCAAATGCAATGAAATTTACGTTAGGCATGGAGTGGGTATATGAATGAGTCTATTGAATTATTCATTGTTACCTGCAATATGTTCATTCATAGCGGGTTAGTAGGATGTCTACTTTACACAACTATTGTTTTCAAGCTCCCACACAAGTGGATTTAGATCCTAGACAATGGTTGTTATTTTGGCCAATTGAATCTGACACTACATGCCACTTTCTTAGAAGTGTCTGTGCTTCTTACCAATTAACTCGTACAGACTGATTAAGCTACATACATTCTTGTATAGTGGCTTATGACCATTTTTTCCCTGGGATTATATACGAGTATTATGGGTGGTTGTCATAAACGAAAAGGCAATTGTGGATCGATATAGCACTTGTTATAATTAATGCATTTATACGTGTTCGGATCTTGCAAGTTGGCATGAATGTGAGAGAAGGCCAGTGGTTGTTAGCATGTGGCTGCACTGGGAAGTTGTGACTATGGTTTTGATCTATTCTTGCTGTGAATCTGCACAGTTCTTCATTGCATGCACGGCCTGATTTGATTGGGCAAGTTCCTCTAACTTAGTGATTCAACAGTAGATTAGTGACTAGAAGTGTGGTAATATTGATCTCCTTGAAGTGTCTAATCTCCACATAACATATATAATATATAGTGCATTAAGATGGTCAAAATTCTTAAATTGCTTTATTTAGATACCTGTGCCCTGTATTCCTTTTGGTGCCACATTGATTGTTTTGTTTAAAATCGAGGTTCACATTACTAATAGTTATGCTTGCTCTTGTTTTACTAAAGTTTGGATGCTAGAGAGGTAATATCAAATGTGTCTCTTTGCTGGTTTTCAAATTTCAATCGGCTCCATGTTGAAAGTCAGATCTGAAACTGAAAGTATACGGGTAATTTTCTTTGGTGGATGATGTGGGCCCAATAATCTCAATTTTGTTGAACAATCTTTATTGTATTTAAAAAATAAATTCTATTTGTGTACTTAACAAAAAACGGAATACAGAAGAAATAAAGAAATGAAAGAGTTTGTTTGATTACAAAAATCAAACCAGTAATGAAAATAAAACACAAACAATAGATTCTTATCTTGTTACAAAAAACAAAATTAGAATATGATAAAAATAAATAAATAAAATAGAAAGTAAATTTAATACTAACCTTATGTATTTATTGAACAAAATTCTGATCAAGTCCAGTGTTTAACATCGTGTTCTTAAGACAGATTCGTCTTCTCCACGGTGCTTTCAAATTTATGGATGTCTATCTCCCTGGATAAAATGATCAACAGCAAATAATAGCAGCACTACAAATTATTTACACAACGAACACAATTTGTGTTTACACTCTTTTTCACAAGAAAATAATGCAGCAAAATGTATAAAGTAATTGCAGAATTTTTTTGACGTAAATTTGAAGTGAAAACATAAAATGAGGGACTGTCTATTTATAGATGCAGTGGTACCCTTTCAGTTTGAATTAAACAGGTAGCATACTTGTTTGAACAGGTACTGTACCTGTTGGGTTTGAATTGGAACTGTTTGGGTTCAAAATTTGAATTTAGACAGATAGAAACCTGTATAGAATTCCAACCGAATTTTGAAACCAAAATCGGATAGATTTTTGAATTTAAATTCCGAAATTCAAATTCCAAAAAATTAGAATTTAATTTTAGAAGAATAAAATTCAAATGTTTTTGGTTCAAACAGATAAGTATTGGGCTGGACAAGCCTAACCCAACCTCACACCACGCACCAATGCCCAAGCCCAGCCTAGCCCGCTCGTCCGGAGGGACGGCAGCGCGCGCGTGTGGTTATTTTTTGGCCAATGGGTCTAACCCAATTTGCCCATAACCTCTCCCTTCTACAAACTTGGGGCGTCCCTTGGGGCTCTCCCCAAGTTATAATCCCAAGGTTTATAAACCCGTAAATTTCTTCCCACCTGTAGACGTCCCCGAACGCCCCGGGAGGGTGAGTCCCGTTCTGTTCATTTTGGGGTCACTACAGCTCGGACTCTCAAATTTGTCACGGTTCTAAGTCTGAACCAAAGAGTCCAAATCCGGCAAATCGTTTTGAGAAAACAGATTTTTGAAAGAAGTGCCAAACATGGACTGCTTTGCCAGATACAGAGTCGCCACCTAAATATTTTAAAATGGGGGAATTTAGGAAACCCTGACTCGGTGCCAAAAGGCCACGCGTCCGTCATCACCAAAGTTGCCTCGGCTCGGGAACTTGGGTACGATTGGGAAAGGTCACTTCATGAGCACCCCCGCTCGCCCGGTCAAAGATCAGCCTCTACTAACCATGATATCAAATTTTGAAAACATATGTATGTTCTTATTCCGGTTATTAGCCTAGGTTACTATGTGATGCGCACAGCTACAAGTATAGGCTGAGTCGCCTGAATTGGAACAAAACATTTCATGTTCGTTTGTTTGAAGATGGTTTGATGGTGCTACCCGCAGGTAGGCTTAAAATGCAGATTTTGCCACCTTCGGTGGGCTTAGAAAAGATGGTTTTGCCACTATCTAGTGGGCTTAAAAACTCACACTCAATGATTTGTTCCAATCTAAACAACTCAACATTCACCCACAAGCATTCAGGCAGTTATATCGCAATAAGCATATAGTCTCATGGTAAGCATGCTATTCATGGCAGTCACTCACACGCATGCAAGGATGCTAAAGCTAAAATCACCGGGTACTCCAAGCCAAAACAGAGATTACATTAGAAATCATACATGATCCTAAGTATACAGAAATGCCTAATGCAACACATGCAAAATACAACTATAGCAGGCTCGACTATTCTAAACATGGCATATGAAATGCTACAGCTATCATGTATTCAATTTGGAATTGAAAGTACAATGCAGTTAGTATGATGCGCCGAGCCCGGTGCATGCAAAACAGATGAATGATTGCAAACATGCTATCATACTGTATGCTAATTGAAACATGCCCTAATCTAACCATCATAAGCGGATAAATAAAAGGGAGAAAGACGTGGGTTGGGAGACATACACACACACACAGCACACTTATTACAGTTGTGCCCTCGCGCAGAGGGTCCGAAATAAATATACAGTCCCAAATAAATAATTACAGTCCCGAATATACAGTCCAAATAATATACAAATTCCTAATTAATTAACAAATTAACTAAGAAAACTGTAAAACTGGCGTGCAAGCCAGGGACTGCCTTGCTTCTGATGAATGATATACATTTAGGCTGCCTTGCGTGGAAATCCACCGGATGTCCAATTAGCCTCTGTTTAGCAGTTATTCTTGGAAAGCGTGCCAATCTCCGAAAAGTTGCTGATTCTTCATTTTGCTGCAACAGAGAGCAGGAAAGGGGCATAGCAATGTATTTTCAACAGATATATGCATGCCTCGATCCTCGTGCCACCAATCACGCATATCGAGGCATGATGGCCGAGGAGTCGAAATGCCACAATTCAATATAGGATGAATGCACATGAAGACACAGCTAAAACCTAACTCCATCATGGATAATCCGGAGTGTCGGTGACTGGGGAATTGAGACACATTCCGTCACTCGGAGTACGAAATGCACCTCGTTTCCCGTGCCCGGGCTAACTCCTATTCCGAACACGATGCAATATGCACGATATGCATGAATGCAACTAAGATACAATCCTAACATACATAATGCTATGAAATGAGATGCCTCGAAACGCGTGCACACGAGCACGCAAACCGAGGCGATGGTATACGCAATGCAATATGGCTAAAAATGGCATATAAAATGCAACATGGACTTGTACTAACATGAGAGAGCCTCAGCCACACTCACATAAGAGGCCGGTGGATGAAAATGAAGTGCCTCAAATGCGTGCACACGGGCACGCAAACCGAGACAATGGCATACGCAATGCAATATGGCTAAAATGGCATATAAATGCAACATGGACTTATACTAACATGAGAGAGCCTCAGCCACACTCATATAGGAGCCGGTGGATGAAAAAGAAGTGCTCTCGAAAATACGTGCACACGGGCACGCAAACCGAGGCAATGGCATACGCAATGCAAATGACATGAAA